AGCTGAGAAGGAACAAAGCCCACATGGAAGAAGCACACCAGCCTGTGTGATCACGAGGTGTTGATAGAATCAGGTATCAGGCATCAAAGAACAAAAAATCATATCATTGTGAATGAGGGGGAGTGCAGAGTGGAGACCCAAAGCCCATCTGTAGGCAACTGGACATCTCCTTATAGAAGGGTCGTGGGGAGGAGACGAGCCAGTCAGGGTGCAATGTAGTAACGATGAAACATATAACTTTCCTCTAAATGCTTCCTCCCCCCACCCCCCATCCACTGTCATGATCCCAGTGTAAGATATGACAAAATAATAATAATTTATAAATTATTCATGAGGGAGGAGGGGTGGAGGAGGAGGGGGGAAAACGAGGAGTTCATACCAAGGGCTCAAGTAGAAAAAAAATGTTTTGAGAATGATGATGGCAACAAATGTACAAATGTGCTTGACACATTGGATGGATGGATGGATTGTGATAAGAGTTGTACAAGCCCCCAGTAAAATGATTAAAAAAAAACAAGAGCAAATTATTATTCACAAGTCTGTGAATTGACTGGCCAATTTTCTACTGGTTTTGTCTGGATTCACCTATGCAGATATAGTTGTCTGGCAATTCAGCTGGAGTGGGTTGGTTTTAGTCTAACCTATTCTTCATTTTATGTCTAGAACCCATTTGGAATAGCTTGAATAGCTAGGATACCTGGAACTGTCTCTTCACTGTGGCTTTCAGATGGGTCTTATTCCCAGGATGTTTGGCTCAGGGTTTCAAGAGCTTGAGCAATGATGTTGCTAAATAGTATTGCTACCGCTGAGTTCTACTGGTCAACCAGCCACAGCGGAGCTCAGATACCAAGGGTGGGCAGAGACCCTGTTTCTTTTTCTTTTGTTTAAATACTTTTATTGGGGGCTCTTACAGCTCTTGTCACAATCCATCCATCCATCCATTGTGTCAAGCACATTTGTACATATGTTGCCATCATCATTTTCAAAGCATTTTCTTTCTACTTGAGCCCTTGATGTCAGCTCCTCATTTTCCCCTCCCTCCTCCACCCTCCCTCCCTCATGAGCTCTTGATAAATTATAGATTATTATTTTCATATCTTATATCATCCTCTGTCTCCCTTCACCCACTTTTCTGTTACTCATCCCCTGACTCCGTATTTTGACGAGAAGAGTGGCAAAGAGCTTGTGGCCAGTTGGAATGCACTATAGTGATAAGAATCACTTCTGAAAACCCAGGCAGCCAGAAGAGTAAAAGAAGACTATAAATAACCAAATCTTACCATCCAGAAATCGATATTAACATTTGATGGGCATCATTATTTAAGGTATAGCTTTATGTATATACAAAAGATAATGGCTAGCTAGAATGATGACTGGATAAGTGGTTGGGGAGCTGAAAGGAAAAAATTAAGAAATGAGAGCCATTGGTTTTCTTTTTTTACCTACACATTACAGTTTTAGATAGATTACTTTCTAAGAAAGGGAAGGAAGGAAGAACTCTTATTGTTTTCCTACCTCTCTCCTCCATGTATAGACTGTACTTGATCAGAGTTTATATACTTTTGGTTTTACGTTGTTGGTCCTAATTTTTCTGATTGTTGAAATATAAACTTGCATTTAAATACATGCAATGAACATAGATGCTCTTTTTACTAAGGCTCCTTCATTTTAGTGATAGAATTTAGTGGATGCTGGGTTTCTGAGTGGTGTGTTATATTCCCCAAGTACTCATGATTTAGAATGCTTATCACTTGCCTGTATACATGAGTCATCTTGTTTGGATATAATGTTTTCTTTTCCTTAGAGCACTAGAGACATAGGTCCATTGTTTTCTGACATTCAAAGTTACTGACTGTACATGAGGATGACAGCAGCTTGATTCCACCCGCCCCCACCAGCCCCAACCTGTAGAAGGTTTAATTGTTTTGTTTCATTCCTCTCTATCCTTCAATATTTGTCCTAGGATTTTAATAATTCCACCTATGCAAAAAGGTTTTTCTGTAGCTTGTTTAGTATTAGTTATTTTGTGTGTGGAATTCAATCTGTAAATTCACTTTTTTATTTCAGGAAACATGTGTTTTGAAAATATTCTTGCTTACTTTACCTTTAATATTCTTTTGTTATTGTGATTACAATGTTTCTTTTGTTTTATCTTCATTACCATCCATATTTATCATTTCCTTTGAATTACATTAATTTCTTTATCCTTTCTTTTACATTGATTTTGACTACCTAAAGTTTTAAAATAGTTTACTTTTTCTGTTTCTATTTACAGGCCAAAAATGGCATGGTTTGGTTTTTTAATCTGTTTAACTAGCTTTGTGTTTTCTTTCCCATCTTTTCTTATTGGTTATCATACTATGATTAAACTCTTCCTTTATTGAATTCATATCCTTATGAAATATTCAGTAGCATATAAAGCACATCTTAGACATTGACTTGCGGTTTTTGTTTCTTCATGAGAACTGTACATGTTTTCTATTTTGTATGCTATTTCCTTCTTTCTTTTGCAGCCTTATTTTTTGTTTGATGTCATATATTTGAGTATTTATCATGTCTTCCTTTCCGTCTGTCTTTGTCATTGTTTCCATCTTCACTGTGGTCAGTTTGCTCTCCTTGCTCTGAGCTATAGTTTGAGTACTAGATTTGTCATCCCATCACCTTAATAAGAACTAAAGACCCGGGAGTATGGAAGTAGTATACCTTCATGGATAGCAGCGATGGTCATTCTGTGGGATCTAAGCTCTCTTTTTTTTCCTCTCACACACATGCTTTGGCTGTTAAGTGCTTGGTGCTGAGTCATATTGACTGTATGTAAATACAATGAAGCATTATCCAGTCTTGTGCCATCTCACAATTGTTGTTATGATTGAGCCCATTGTTTTATAGTTTTATAGTCACTGTGTCAAGGGTCTTCCTCTTTTCCACTGCCCTTCTACGTTACCAAACATGATGTCTGTGTTGGCGAGGTTCTCTGGAGAAGCAAAACCAGTGACATGTGTTGTATGTGGATGTATATAGAAAGAGACCTATATAAAGAAATGGCTTGGAACAACTGTAGAAGTAGGTAAATCCAATCCAGTTCAAGTCCGTAGATTAGCTGCAAGCTGGAGCCATCTCCTGACTTGTATAGCTGCAGGAGCTGATGAATAAGAAGCAGGAAGCTAAATACAGGTATGTACATATGTAAATATATTTATATATGATGATGGAGAAATAGATCTATGTGTTTATAAGTTTAATATTAAGGTAGCAGAAGGACATTGGGCCTCCACTCAAGTACTCCCTCAATGCAAAAATATGTTGTTCTTTTAAACTGGCATTCCATGATGGTCACATTTGCTGAAGACAAATGTGTGCATAAGCAAATGTGGTGAAGAAAGCTGATGTGCCTGGCTATCAAAAGATATAGCATTTGGGATCTTAAAGGTTTGAAGGCAAACAAGTGGCCATCTAGCTCAGAAGCAACAGTGCCCACATGGAAGAAGCCCACCAGCCTATGCGATCATGAGGTGTCAACGGGATGAGGTATCAGGCATCAAAGAACAAAAAATCATATTATTATGAATGAGGGGGAGTGCAGATTGGGGACTCAAAACCCTTCTGTAGGCAACTGGACATCCCCTTACAGAAGAGTCACGTGGAGGAGACAGGCCAGTCAGGGTGCAGTATAGCAACAATGAAACATACAACTTTCCTTAAGTTCTTTAATGCTCCCTCCCCACCCCATCCCCGTCCCAACCCCTCCTATCATGATCCCAATTCTGCCTTACAAATCCGGCTAGACCATAGGATATACACTGGTACAGATAGGAACTGGGAACACAGGGGGTGCAGGACAGATGACCCTTTTGGGACCAGTGATGAGAGTGGCGATACCGGGAGGGTGGAGGGAAGGTGGGATAGAAAGGGGGAACTGATCACAAGGATCTACATATAACCTCCTCTCTGGGGGATGGACAACAAAAAAGTGGGTGAAAGGAGACGTCAGACAGTGTAAGATATAACAAAATGGTAATAATTTATAAATTATCAAAGGGTTCATGAGGGAGGGGGTAACACAGATGGAGGGGGAAAATGAGGAGCTGATCTCAAGGGCTCAAGTAGAAAGCAAATGTTTTGAGAAGGATGAGGGCAACAAATGTACAAATGTGCTTGATACACTGGATGGATGGATGGATGGATGGATGGATTGTGATGAGTTGTACGAGCACCCAATAAAACGATTTAAAAACAAAACAAAAAAGCAGCAGGAAGGTGAAGCAGGAGATGACAAGCTAGTGGCTGCAGAGCTGAAGGAATTCAAAGTCGTTAGTGTGACGATGATAGCTCTTGGGATCAGCAGACAATATAACAGGAGAGCAACAAGCTAGACATAAGATCCAGATCCAACAGAAGGTGAAGGGGCAAAACAGAGTTTGGCTCTGTTCTGGGTTTCTCTTCTACAATAGATCACACCCTCAGGGAGGTGTCATCAGGCTGCAATTTGATCAAAGGTTGGGTTTCACCCCTACCTTCACTCAGGTAGTTGAGTTAACATAAAATCTAAGTACCAAAATGTCTTTTTCAAGAGACTGATCTCTACTGATAACGCCCAAAGCACATGAGACAAAGTCTTACCATCCTCGAGGCTAAGGGGCATTCTGGCTGTACTTCTTCCAACACAGAATTGCTTGTTTTTCTAGCAATACATGTCACTTTCAATATTCTTCACCAGCACCACAATTGAAATGCAGCAAATTTTCTCCAGTCTTTCTTATTCAATGCCCAGCTTTCATATACATGTGAGGCAATTGAAAATACCTCATAGTTGCATCTTATCCTCAAAGTACCCTCCTTGCTTTTCAACACTTTAAAGATGTCTCGTGCAACATATTTGCTCAATGCAATTCATTACTTGCTTCCTGACAGCTGTATCCATGAGTGTTGAGTGTGGATTCAAACAAGATGAAATCCTTGAAAACTTCAATATTTTTCTCTTCATTGTGATATTATCTAGTGTCCTTTATGAAAGGAAAGAAGGCTAGCACTCCCCTGGACAAGGCTGAAAAAGCACTTCAGGCCCAACAGTACACATACTATCAAAGTGTGGCTACTGATTTCTTGGCATCTCACCATTGTTTCCATGTGTAGATCCCATTCATTGTTCTGTATTGATGTCCTTCACTCAGCCAGGGGTGCATCCCAGTTCAATGGTTGTAAGCTCGATTCCCCCAAAATAATACAATTTCTAAAATATGAGATCTTTGTAATCTTTGCTAACCTGTTAATATCCTAAGATTATGAGATAGTATTGAAAATAAAAAATGATATAAGTGCCCTCATTGGGAAGAAAAATATGAACTTATAAACATAATGTCTCTCTTTAAGAAGAAAATTAACTTTAAGGAGGACTTTGTATAAAAATAATTCATTTTCTTTTTTTTAAATCATTTTATTGGGGGCTTGTACAACTCTTATCACAATCCATTCTTCCATTCATTGTGTCAACCACATTTGTACATATGTTGCCATCATCATTCTCAAAACATTTGCTTTCTACTTGAGCCCTTTGTATTAGCTCCTCAGTTTTCCCCTCCCTCCCCGATTCCCCTCCCCCATGAACCCTTGATAATTTATAAATTATTATTATTTTGTCATATCTTACACCATCCGATGTCTCCCTTCAACCACTTCTCCGCTGTCCGTCCCCCAGGGAGGAGGTTATATGTAGATCCTTGTAATCTGTTCCCCCTTTCTCCCTCACCTTCCCTCCAGCCTCCCGGTATCGCCACTCTCACCACTGGTACTGAGGGGTTCATCTGTCCTGTATTCCCTGTATTTCCAGTTCCTATCTATGCCAGTGTACATCCTCTGGTCCAGCCGGATTTTTAAGGTAGAATTGGGATCATGATAGTGGGGGGTGGGGAGGAAGCATTCAAGAACTAGAGGAAAATTGTATATTTCATCATTGCTACACTGCACCCTGACTGGCTCATCTTGTCCTTGTGACCCTTCTGTAAGGGAATGTCCAATTGTCTATAGATGGGCTTTGAGTCTCCATTCCACAGTCCCCTTCATTCACATTGATATGATTTTTGTTCTGCATCTTTGTTGCCTGATAACCTGATCCCTTCGATGACTTGTGATCTCACAGGTAGGTGTGCTTCTTCCATGTGGACTTTGTTGTTTCTCAGTTAGATGGCCCTTTGTTTATCTTCCAGCCTATAGGACTCTAGATTCTATATCTTTTGACAGCTGGGCACCATCAGCTTTCTTCACTGCATTTGCTTATGCACTCACTTTGTCTTTAGCCATCTTGTTGGGATAGGTTGGTGTGCTGCTTTGTTGTTTCTTCGTTAGATGGCCGCCTGTTTATCTTCAAGCCTTTAAGACCCCAGACACTATATCTTTTGGTAGCTGGGCACCATTAGCTTTCTTCACCACATTTTCTTGTGCACCCATTGTCTTCAGTGATCGTGCCAGGAAGGTGAGCATCTGAGACTGCCTAATTGCTAGAACAAAGTGTTCTTGTGTTGAGGGAGTACTTGAGCAAGGGCCCACTATCCATCTGTTTCCTTAATACTAAACCTATAAATATATGTACATAGATCTATTTCCCCCTCATCATTTATAAATATATTTACATCTGTATATGCCTGTATTTAAATCTCTATGACTACCCGTTGCCTCCTAGTTCTTTCCTCTATTTCTTTGTACTTTTCTCTTGTCCCACTATCATGTTGAGCCTTCATTTGGGTTTTAGGAATTCCTCTCGGTTACATTGCCCTTGATCCAGCCCTGCCAGACCTCTTACACCCTCCTTGCCATTGATTTTGGATCACTTGTTGTTCCCTTGTCCCTGTGTTTATTAACACCCATTTCCTTTCCCCCCCCACCCCCCGCCTCCCCTTCGCCCATAAGTAATTTGTTTTCTTATGACACTTTGCTATGTATTACCTTCTCTATGCTGATTTTTAAAAGATGAGAAATATAAAATTTTAAATCCGTATTGATAAACAAAACAACTAATATGTTAACTAGTCAAACTAAAGTAAAACTCTATTGTAGGAATAAAGTTTTTTCTTTTATCTTAAGTAACAAAGGTTTTTCTGATATCCAGTATAATGTGCTAAGGAATGTTTATTGAGAAGTTGTTTTATCTAAAGATTTTCTCATTACTATGTGATTCATAGCCTCTTAGCCTCAATGTTTGAATAGGTGTCAAGATTACAGAAATGCTTTATATGGTTGTGTGAAGTCCTAAAATATTGCTGATAAAGAAGGTAATGATGCATTTCAGACAGAAATAAACTCACAGAGAATTCCTTATGAATTCCTTCTCTCTTTTATAAGTTTTTGTGTTGTCATGTCAATCTCAGCATATCTTTGTGTACTGAATATGAATTTGTCCAGCAATTTGTCCAGAGTATTGGTTTATAATAAGCTTGTTAAAAGTACATTTGACAATTTTTAAACCTAACATCAACTAACGCCCAAATAGCTAAAAATCAATATACTATTTAAAGAGGGAAAGACTGTCACACAAAAGAAAATTCTTTTCCAGCAGTCAGTGTAAGCCATGAAAAAAATTTTTAAATAAATTATCAAGGTTCATGAGGGAGGGAGGGGAAAATGAGAAGCTGATATCAAGGGCTCAAGTAGAAAGAAAATATTTTGAAAATTATGATGGCAACATATGTACAAACATGCTTGACACAATGGATGGATGGATTGTGATAAGAGCTGTAATATCCCCCAATAAAATGATTTTATATATATTCAGATAGTGAAAGGCTAGTAGAGTCCTGCCTATGGATCTTTGCCCACCATGATGGCTTTGAAGCAGAGAAGGCCATTCTCAATGATTTTCATCTTCAAGTAAGGGGCCTGAGCTTTTCTGATGAAGAGTTATTTTTGACTCTTCTACAGCCTCATGTGAATGTACATAGCAAGTGTAGGGCTAGTTCTGAGTATACAAGTAGTGAGGAAGGAGGACTGGGCCTGGTACAGGTGCGCCATTGGCCATGACCGAATCCCTGCTGGAATTTCCTATGGACCTTGGAGAAGGAAAGTCTCCATAGGAACAAAGAAGCAAGTAAGGAGATCAATTCTGTTAAACTCTAAATTCATTTGGAGCTCGTATAGAAAGTTTTAAAAATCATCCAGGGGATCATCCAGTCGGAAAACTGGATGTATGCCAAGCCAATTGACAAAGGACTCTGGTACCATAATATTAGGGCTCTGTGACTGGTTTGATAGAGATGGGATGGTGGAAGAATTATCATTTCTGTTACTGATACTGTGGATATAAACCTGTTTGCCATAACATAGGCATATTGTTGTTGCTAGGTGCCATTGAGTTGGCCCCAAATCATAGCAAGCAACCGAATGAAACACTGTCTGGTCCTCTGCCATCCCCACAATTGCTGCTATGCCTGAGCCTATTGTTGAAGTCATTGTGTCACTCCATCGTGTGAAGGGTCTTCCTCTATTCCATGACAATACTTTACCAAGCGTGATGTCCTTTACTTCAGAGGTATTGTGGGTTTAGTTCAAGACCATCTTAATAAAGTGAAGAGCAAAAAATTAATATTATTATTTTCTTCTATAATTAAGTGGTGCTACAGCTTAGATTAAGACACGTTATGTCACAACCAGCCAAGTTCTAATCTGAAACCTAGTGTTTTCTCTTTTTTTCTTACAAAATTAGTCAGCACCCATAACTTGAGAAAGAGAAATGTAGAGATGGTATGTCTAACGAAATTGTTCATTTTGTGTCTGTTAATGGGCTAACTTAGACTTGGTATAATGGAGCCATGTGGAATTTGCTCTTCTCTCATGCAATGTATGTGTTCCCCTAGTAGAAGTGATTTTTAATAGACTAAATGGTACTTGAATTTGTACAGTATATGATTTCTCCATCCTCACTTTTTCTTATGTTAATGTGCAACCGTATGCTGCGCAAATAATCTGAGAAGTAGAACTAGGTGAAGAAGAATGTGGCATCAGAATTGGAGGAAGGCTCACTAACAATCTTCAATATGTAGATGACACAACCTTGCTTAATGAAAGGGAGGAGGGCTGGAAGCACTTCCTGATGTACACGGATTACAACTTAGTGTCAAGAAACCCCAAATCGTCACAACTTGGCCAATAGATAATATTATGATGAAGGAACAAGGATTGAAGCTGTCAAGGATTTTGTCTTACTTGGATCCTCAATCAATGCTCATGGATGTAGCAGCCAATAAATCAATTGGTGTACAGTATTATCGCAATGGGAAAATCTGTTGCACAAGCCCCTCTTGTAAAGTGTTGAAAACATTTCCTCTCACATATTGGACGTGTTATCAGGAGAGACCAGTTCCTGGAAAGGACCTCCTGCTGGGTAAAGTAGAGGGGCAGTGCAAAAGAGGAAGACGCTCAAGGAGATGGATGCTACAGCAGCTGTAGCTGACCCTTGTCAGGGTCAGGGTTGTGCTTCTTTCGATTGGACACAGGGTGGCTATGAAGTGGGACTGACTCAAGGACACCTAAGACCAACAGGGAAGACTTCGTATCGGTGCCCCTAGGTTCCTGTTCCTGTTACACAATTATGAGTTGTGTGATCTTGGAAAAATTATGCCCCAAAGCAAACCCATTTCCACGGAGTCAATTTTAACTAATAGCCATCATCCAGGACAGACTATAAGTGCCCCTTAGGGTTTCCAAGGCTGCAGATCTTTCTGCAAGGAGATTGCTGCCTCTTTCTCCTGCACAGTGACTGATGCGTTTAAACCACCAACTCCCCAGGTAACAGCCAAGCACTTACTAACCACTACACCAGCAGGGCCCCTTTAAACAGGTTACATCAACTCTTCCGAGCCTCAGTGTATAGATTTCTGCCAGTTTGTCTGACTGTGCTAGCTCGTGTGTGACTTTGATGCTGGAAGCTATACCATCAATATTTCGAATACAATGCTGGAAGCTATACCATCAATATTTCGAATACAATGCTGGAAGCTATACCATCAATAT